TCAATAGTTGGACAAATTTATTACTGTAGTGCTCTTAAAGATACTCAAATAAATTCTTCCAGTTGCCTTTNAGCCATTTTTAATTGTCGGAGTGGGTCCCTTAGCATACTTTTAAATGTCAAGAGGTCCATGGTGCCATGTGTTTACTGTAAATTATGTTCCTAGGGTTTCTTCGAGAAAAAAAAATATGAATTAAATACTTTATTTCAAAGGGGTTCAAAGTGGCACTGCTGTATTGCTGGATGAAGGTTCCGGGTTTGATTCCCAGCCCTGGGAATCTTCTTGGAGTTTGCATGTTCTCCCTGTGCATGCCTGGGTTTTCTCCGGGTACTCCGGCTTCCACCCACAGTCCAAAAACATGACTGTTAGGTCAATTAGCCTCTCTTAATTCTCCTTAGGTATGAGCGTGTATGTGAATGGTTGTTTGTCCTGTTTGTCTCTATGTTGCCCTGTGATAGACTGCGACCTGTCAAGGATTTACTCCGCCTCTCGCCTCTCACCCCAATTTCTTGCTGCTCCTGTCTGAGCACCAGAATACGGGAACCATGCTGTTCACTCAGTGGTGGGAAAAACGTTTTCATTATTACCAAATAGATGTTCAAGTTAGTTGTTTGTGTTGGGATCCTCAGGCTTGCCCACCAGAGGGTGCCGAGGATCCTCTTCTGCTCTTTGTATTTTTTCCCTTAGGACTGAAGTTACTGTTGGGACCTGGAGATTACCCTCTGTCTCCAGCAGAGTGCGCCGTGGGTCTCCTAGGGCTGGAGTGTTCCTGCACACCTGTTGTTAATCCACCCATCAGGAGATCTCCCCTTGATAAGCTAATGCCAGGCCTTGCTTCCACGCCGCAGTGTTGATCTTCGTTGGAAACCTGTCTCTGGTCTGAAGCTCAGGAAGAGCTGCCTCACTGGAAACCTGTCTCTGGTCTGAAGCTCAGGAAGAGCTGCCTCACTGGAACCCTGTCTCTGGTCTGAAGCTCTGGGAGAGCTGCATCACAGGAAACCTGTCTCTAGCCTGAAGCTCTAGGTGAGCTTAACTTGCTAATCTGCCCTGGTTAGCCAACCCGAAGATTCCTACGTGGATGTAACCTGAAGACTTCTATGTGGAGTTTACCTGGAGGTTCCTATGTGAAATCAGCCTGAAGAATCCTATGTGGATTTTTCCTGTTGTTCTCTGTAATGAGCTGAGGGCTCAGCTTGAAGAATACTATGAGGATATTCCCCTGTTGTTCCCTGCAAAGAGCTGGAAGCTCAGCCTGAAGAATCCTTTGTGTTTATCCCCTGTTGTTCTCTGCAGTGAGCTGGAAGCTCAGATCTAGGTCAGCCATGCTAAGCCTGATGCAAGATGCTTAGCTTTTCATGAACTCTGCTAACCAACAATCTCCCGTCCCAGTACTGACTCCAGTGAACCTGCTCCCCTGCCTGAACCAGTTCCAGTATCATTATTCATGTTATTGTGCTTCAATAAACTCGTTAAACTTTTCATCAGACTCCGTTGTGTTCTTCATATTGGGCTTTTCTGAAACCCATCATGACAGAACACTGCGGCCAAACACAAAGCCCAGCAGATCACCTTCGTCGGTGGATTGAGGAACGGGACGCTAAGATCCATGGACATGCACAAACCCTCTGTGAGTTACATCTGAATCAAACATTCGCTAGCCACTTGGATAATGCTAACTCCACGTCAGCGGCACGTCCTGCCCCGAAACCACTTCCGTTTCCTAGGTCACCGGTAGTGACGTCACTTCCTAGTCAAGATAATAATCCTCCTTTCTGGTCAGAACACAGCCCGTCGTTTTCTTCACTCAGTCCTTCTCTGCCTGAGAGATTTTCCGGCAATCCAAGTAAGCTCAGGAGATTTCTGTTTCAGTGTCGGTTATTTTTTTAAATTTTATGAGTCTAGTTTCCTGTATGATAAGGAAAGGATAGCTTTTGTTATGTCATTTCTGTCCGGAGATGCTCTTGAATGGGCGGAGACCAGATTTCCGTCTAAATCTAGCTCCAACTGTACCTATGAAACATTCATCCAGGAATTTAAAAGAACCTTTAGTCAGGTCACTAAGTCCATCGTTTCTTGTAGTCTTCTGGAATCTAAACAGTGAAATAGTTCCGTTGCCGAGTTTTCTTCTGAGTTCCAGGGAAGAGCAGCCGTTTCCGGGTGGAACGAGTCTGCGCTCAAGACCACTTATCTCTTAGCTCTGAATGAACCCGTCAGAAACGAGCTTTCATTTTACGTCGAGCCAACTAACCTTGAGGACCTCATAGAACTAGCCATTGGGTTAGACATAGCACTACAAACCAGATCCAGTTCCCTTCAGCGCCAGGTTAGTCTCAGCTCACATATACTCGACCCTCACTTAGCTCCATCTGTCAAAGGACTCAAATTAGGCCCACAAGTTAAATTTCAAACTACTAGACTTACCCGCCAGCCTGATCAGACACCTGAACCTGTGACTTTTGTTCCTGAATCCGTTCCCATGCCTGATTCTCTAGCCACTGATTCAGTAATCCTTTCTGGAACTCTAATTTTTCAAGCGG